CTTTTCTACTATATAATCTTGTTCGACAGTATAGGAGCTTAGATAAACAAGTACCTGGTAAGGATATTAGTTAGACAAAAAACTACTCAAATAAACCATTATGTTACTACATCGGAGTAATAAACACCCAAAATTTACTTACATAAACCACTATCGTCAGCTTAGTCACCACGCTGTCGCAAAAAAATAACTACGAATAATCAGGCATAGTTTGCCACGACAAGACTTCTTTTAACCATGCGAAGCGCATGCACCTCATTATGCGCAAAAAAAAAAAAATATTAACATTACTATAAACAATCATTGTGCATAGAACTCTAACTCATCCAGATGACATAGTCAGTATCCCTGACACAGACAACGGAAAAACAAGATTCTGAAAAATAGATATACCATAATGCACCAGTGTTTTCATGTATAAAGTTTAGACTTTCGCCATACCATGGCTTCTTCTTGGTTTTTACCAAATAGGAAACCGTAATATAACATCCTATACATTTGGGGAAACAGTTATCGATGTGTATCCGTGAATTAGTAGTATGGATGCGGCCCTCTCATGCAATTGCATAAGATAACCCGGGTCACAGATCTTCCGCATGTCTACATACAAAGGTTAACAGAACCACAAGTTGTTCACGATATGAAGTATCCCGAGGATGGCAAAGCCAAATGATCAATCATATGAAACTAATTATGCATCGCTACGCCCATCGGTGTTGTATAGCGGTGAGGTACCTCTTACCCTCGTTCGTCTCTACATAACTAATTGACTCATGACCATCATCACGAAGCATCGCTCTCTGAGGGTGTGCCCTTGATAATACGACCATATCAAAAATGCACTCATGCACATAGTGTTTTTGTTTTCGTCATAATGACCTAGTTATTAGGAATAAGGGGTGCGTGATTCTTTTTTTTTTTTTCAACTTATTTTATTATTATTTTTTATTATTATTATTATTGTTTTATTATTATTATTTTTTTATTATTCTTTGTCTATTTTGTATTATTTATCTTGTATTTTGTTACTATATATCTTTTATTATTGTTTTTATTATTATCGTTGTATTATTTTGTATTCCTTATTTTTTAGTCTTATAACAGTATATAGGCTTGAGTAAGTAGGTGCCAAGCAAGGATATTAGCCATGCAACACGATTTCGATATTCAACTGGCTATCTATGAGAAGTGCATGTAAAAAAGACACATATACATGCGTGATTGGTATATATGCTTAATACCTGCGGCTAGGTTGTAAGGATATAGCTGTGCATTTACAACGCTTATTTTCACCCTCGAAAAGTTTCTTCTATATACTAATGTATTCATTGAAGAGTATTACAAGATGTGAATGACACACTGTGTGTACCGTTCAGGGTCTTCAAACTCTCATATTACCCCCTACAGCTAATCAGCCTGAATGAGCAAACTTATGAGAAATAAGAAATCAATGACAAAATTATAGGGACCAAAACAAACTTTCTCAACACAACCATCGAAATCACCAACACTCTTACCGATCATTACAAAACATACAAATATGACAAAAGAAAAGAATTAAACTTCTCCATCACTAGATTTATTCAAGCACACTCCAACAGACCAATGCAGCAATCTCTTAACTTGGTAATACCCCAAATCATCACAAGCATGATAGTCCAATTTGAACCCCAACATGCAGCAATCGAAATAGAACAAACCATCAATAACAGACTGTTAGGAATTACCAAAAATATCCTCCAATACCCTGAATATTACCAACCTTTTCGGTGTTGTCCTCATACTGTACTGCGGTCGCTTCAACACAACCACAACTAATGATAAGAGAATTGGCACCCAGATGTACAATGAATACATACACGTGTGTGTAAGCCAAATAAACTTCTTGCTTGGTTCGGATGGAGAACTTACCTCGGTTGGGGTAGGTCCTTAATCCTAGTTTCAAAACAAAGTGACCTACCCCACCTGGACCTCTATTACGAGGGAACGGGGAGGGACACACACACACACACACACACACACATATTAACTTTTTATCAAAAAGGAATAATAAATATATATTGTTTAAAAATATATATATATATATATATTAAATGTATATATGATAATGATAATAAAAATAAAACTAAATAAATAAATATAAATATAAATAAAAATAAATAAAGATTATTTTAACTAATAATAAGTGAAAATAAATAATACACTCTCCATTGTTAGGAATAATTAATAAAATAAATAAATAACAAAATATATATTTTCGTCCATATGATAAGAAACGCAGTAATAAAAGGTATCCTTCCCCCCTATAACCCCGGAGATAACCCACTGTAAGGCAAACCCCCGCCTCGGAACTACAACACCATCAATATACATTACAGACAATTAACCACACACCTTTATACCACATAGCAACACCATACATATCAGTTATGGGTCCACTGTGAAACGGTGTTCACCAGTTCGCAGTAGCTGATGCAGATCCCAGGGCTCGATCCCTAGTTCCCCACCTTACCTGTGTACAGTACCTGTGTCAACCCGTAGAGTTGAACCTGCGACTTGTAGGACCGCCAGTGGTAGGTAGGATATCGTAGGTTACAGGGTATAGGGGATTCGAACTGTAAACCTGTCGCGTAGGAGTCTAGACAGTCCAGAGGTCTTAGCTGTAGACTTTCCAAAGGGTCAAAGTCGTAGCTGCTACTTACCTGAAAGGGCAGAGTCATAGCTGCTACAGTACCGAAAGGCCAAGTAGAGGTTTCTAGAAGTGGCCTTTCGGAAGTGAGCCCACTGTAGGTCGAGGCAAGTGGGCAAGTGGTGGAAGTCCACCACGCAGAGTCAGCAGTCTCAGTCCAGTCTGTCCGGTCCAGTCAAGCAAGTACCGTCTGGGACTGTGTACACCGTGGGCCAGGGGAACAGGGAAGACCAACGGGTCACAAAAGTATAAATCAAGAGGCGGCGCACAACCATTCATTCATTGCTGCGGAAGCCATGCGGAAGCGCTGCCTCAGCGTCTTGTGCGAGGAGGTCTGCAGTGTGCCCGAAGTCGAAGTGGGCCAGGAGCGTAGCATAGCGATAGGGTAGAGGCAGCCATAGCTGCCATAGCTGTAGTGGAGTGTGTGTGTGTGGTGTGAGTGTGTAGAGGGATGCGTGTGGGATATCCAGGGTGGTCCGGTGTGTGAACAGTGGGTTGTTGGGCGCAGAGTCGCCATAGCGAGTTGAAGTGAACTCGTACCTGGAAACCATATCTTTGAGTATTGTGTGGGTGCATGTCGCCAGTTTGCTATGCTGCTGTTCACGTGCATGAAAAGTGTAAATAAGACGAGTCTGATTGCATTGGTATCGGAGTTGGTACCCGCTATTCCATGCGCGTCGTCGTGTGCAGCTTTGAGGCACCATAGCAGAGGTGGCCACTGAGTGAGATAGTCCGCCATAGCGGACCCGAGGTTGAAGAAGTCGCCGCGCACCTGCAAGAAGACCACGACGAAGAAGAAGAGAGAGAGAGAGAGAGAGAGAGAGAGAGAGAGAGAGAGA